GGTCGATGATGTGCTGAAGCTCTTGCGAAGTCATCAGGCGCTGTTGGGGGGGGCGGATTTACTTCGACCGAAGGATTGGGAATACAGGGGTGTTCATGAGGTCACCCAGTCAGTATGAGACCTTCAACTCTTTTTGAGGATTGGTTTTCCACTGAAGCTCTGTATTCAAAGGACTTCTTTCCAGCCATGCTGTGCGCGAATTGTGCGCGATCGCCATTGGAGTCTCTTGTGGCTCGGATTTTTGGGACAAGGACCGTGGCTGGGCGAAGGAACTTTTGGAGCGAAGGATTAGAAGCGATCCGCTTCTGGGCGGTTCTGGCTTGGTGAAAGGTGAAGGTGAAGAAGGATGACCTTAGGCCAGCGCCGCTCGGCGGTGGCCTCACAATGGCGCCAATATGGTGCCATATTAATTTGTTTAAATCCGGTGGGACTTATGAGGATTGTTCAGTGCAATGTGAGAATTCAAGGTGAAGTGAGAGAATTCGATGCCAAGTGTTCGTGCTTCCACGGTTTGGCCATGCCACAACAGCACGGTGCAAGCGTTTCACTGATGGGAAAGCTTGGATTGAAACGCATTTCAACCGGATTTGCACCGCAAGAAAGTATCGACTAAGGCGAAGGCTAAGAAGAACACCTACCCGGAGCTACCCCAGCAACTCCAAACACACAACCTAAAAAAGATAAACGTCTTTGTAATAGGGGAAAGTTGTCTTCCAGTCATCCCCCTTTCTTTTTCAGATGTTCGTTTATCACAGAATCTCAGTCGGAGTCCGGTTTCTGGTCGGAGTCCCTCCACCTGTTCAGGGACAGATTTTAACGATGTGCAGATCGTCACACTCCGTTTCAGCTCGGGAAGCTCGACGTGCTCGCCTTGCGTGGTGAAGCACACTGTGTGTTTGTTCGGCCTTCTATAGGGGCGAAGCAGAGCGAGCATCGCTTCCTCCGAGCGGACGGACTTCTAGCCACATCGAAGCTGAGCGATTCGCATGAGGTCTGTGCCCACCAACCCGGTGCGGCACGGCAGCGGAACACCACGGAACGGCCCCGGGACTCGCGAACGACCGCCAGTCAATCCGCGGTCCGACGACTCGCTACGAGCTCTTCGGTACACCCGACTTCTCCCGGGAACGGTGGGCCTCTCGGCTCGGGCGTCGGGCGGCTTCGTCACGCGGAGGCTGCCTGGACGGTGCCGCTCCTGGGTCCGGGTGGAGGGGTTGGAAGGGACCTGGATCGAGGTGGATGTGGATGTGGATGTGGATGGATGTGGTGGGACCTTCTCCCCTCAAAGGGTCACCTTAAGAGAGCACTCCAAAACAGGTCACGAAGGGCTCAGGTCCGATCAATCTTCGGGTCGGTTGGTCGCAGGATCGGAAGGATCGGAAGGCCCATGTGTTGGATGTTTCTCAATTGGCAGGCCCATTGGTTAAGGCCGAGGTTCCGTGGACGGCGCTTTGATGGTTTTCCCCTGTCCTTCCACCGGGTGCTGTGAAGAAAGGCCAACCTAAACGATCCACTGGGACTCGTAGGTGGATAGCCCTCAAGTTGCCCTCAATAGCTTGGAAATCACTTGATCTACTCTTGTTTCGGGGATGCGCCAATGAAAGACTAACGCATCGAAGAGTACGTTCCCCTTTTGAACCATATATTGATCGTGGAGAGATGTGTAGTGTGGAGATGGTTTTTGCTTAGTTTGTGCCCATCCCCAGGTTTTCGTTTACAATGGTTTCCTGGACCCATTCTTGTTCAACGCCCACCGCATGCGCCTCTCATCCTCATGCGGAAGACGTTCACTCCGCCCTGCCACTTTCCACCCTGAGTGATCTCATGGTAACGTCATCTCCGTGTTCTGAGGTGCCGGAGATGACGGTGGAAGCGGTACAAGTGCTGATGGCCTTGCAGAAGCGCTTGACGGCGGATGAGCAGCTCAACCTCGAGCAACTCAGGTTCCGGTCGCTCAACGCCCGCGGACCACGGATGGACTCAGACTCCATTGGAGAAACGGTGAGCGATGGACTCAAGCGATGGATCGAGTTCCGAAAAAAATCGATGGAGTTGTTACGTTGTTTGTTTGTGTGTGTGTTTTTTGGTTCAAATCCTCCTTTTCATGGCCAATTGATGGAGTTCAGGATACGCCAGTTCGTTTTCTGCTTCGCCAAATTCATCAAGGCATCAGTGCAAAAGAATTCTTCGATGTTCTTGGTATCTTTTGGTATCTCTTGGGCCTCGCAATAAGCCTCGATCCTGCTGCGACTTGGTTTCAGTTCAGGGTGAAATCACTTAACATGCACTGCACATCATTTCTCTTGACGAGATGTGTCTCTTGACGTGCATTGTGTGCAAGCATTCTTCCCCTTGTTGACCTGCAGTCTCTTGTTCATACACAGGGCATTCAAGGGCTATGGAAATACCTTGGGTCTGCCCTGTTACCAGGAACAGTCAGTAACCACTTATCACTATTTTCGAGAAAGGTCTTTACTAACCGTCATCATCCACTGAAACCTGGTCATTAAAAGATACCTGATTCATCCTGATTCTTAGATAGAGCGGGTGCTTACACCCTCACAAGTCCTCGATTTGCATGCCCTGTCTGCCCGAAATCGTCGTGCTTCGGACAGGAGGTTGGCTGCCATCGCCTCGGAGAGCTTGGTGTGGGAGCTCGTTGGTTGGCTGCCCATCGATGGGTGTGGTCGCCTCGTTGGGCCTTTCATTCAATGTGGATTCCCTTCATGTCAAACGTGGGGCGCTTGATACAGTTTTGCATCCCGTGAAGGTGTTTGGCAGCTGCTCAGTCAGGTGCTATACGGGTGCAAGTCTTATGCCCTTTCCCTCCTGCGGAGGTCCAACCGGTACCACCTCTCATTGTTCTTCCCGGTTGGACGCGGTGTTCAAGATCCGTCCCGAAACAGATGGTTCCTTCCGTTCTGGCTCGGTGTGTGGTGTCGCGGGAGTGCTTTAGCACGGTGGGGGGGGGGTTCCTCAGATAGAAGATCACCGCATGCAACGAACAAAACTATATAGTAATGTGGGTGACTAATGAACTGTAACAGTCATTTACAAGGTCAACTACAGAACTCTATATAACAATTAACGGTTGCACCATGTACTATTAGTCCACAGCCAGGGGTGGCCGCAATCCGCGTGTGAGGGCTGGAGCGAAATGTAGCGGTTTTCCGGCTAGTAAAAGGAAGGCCTGTGGTCGAGATCGGGTGTGAACTAGCCCAACAACCCAAGTACTAGAAGATCTAGAAGTGTGCACAAAGAAGACCTGATTGCAGCGGGCTGTGGCTGAAAAGCCGCAAACGACGACCAGGTGGTTCGTCCCACTTTTCCACTGGGCTTCAGTGGGTTTGGATTGTGCTCTACTTTTAAGCTATATGCTACAGCCTTTGGGAGAGCCATTTTGCTCGAGCCACGACCGGGGCAAAGCTTTGGAAAGGACCTTCAAGAGCCAGGACCGCTGTGAAGGAACATCTGAGATGGATCGATTTGACCCCGCCTGGAGGGGTAACCTTCGCATCCAAGAAGGGCTGGATCGATTTGCATCGGACAAGAAAACAGATCCAGCAAAGACACCTCAACACCAAAAAGCCGTGAAGAGTCGCAGAAGCAATGATAACAGATGGTAACAGTGACAATGTTTAAATGATTAAGTGCGTTAAATATACAACTTTGTATATGCGTTACATTTTAGTTTCTGATAAATCTCAGCTTTAAAAAGCCAAGCACAACGTGTTTGTTTTTAATGTGTCATTTCTTAACTGTCCATCTTCTGATAACATATAGCCAGCTTCTTTGCTATGGCTATGGCTCTCATATTGTTTTTCTGAACTCCACACTCCCTGCAAAATATAGCTAGCTACAAAACAGTTGTCCATTATACAAATCTTGCATCGATTCCTTTAGCTGGTTCATTTTGCAACTGTCACAATCCCATATACTTGGTGTTGCAGTTTTTCCTGAATCTACTGTTACATTCATGTCCTTCACGTTTAAAGCATTCCGCCATTTATTAAACACGTGCTTTTCCTTTGTTAAGAACCTACCCATATCTTGCGACATATATTATTGTTGTCTTCTGTATGACCACAAATTCTAGAACATTATGTTTACACTCATATAGGTTAGCGCTCCTTATGTCAATAACTTTACCCACGCTAAGTTTAATATCATGTGTTCTTTTCCTGGAATATTGTTCAATCAGGTTTTTCTATGCTTTAATCCTAACAATATTTTGTCATATTTTGTCTAACAATATGTGGTCATTAACTTCTATTTCTCCAAACCCCTTTTTCCATGTTCCATTACAAACAGGTGATTTTCTACTTCCATGTTAGGTCTGCGGACTCCGGAACAACTAGATCTTCCTGCCACCTGTGACTCGGAAAGTCCAGAAAACGGTGTCCGTCTGAGGTGTCCAGCCTCCTCACTGGTGCTGGCGCCACTGCCCATGCCAGTGGCACGCTGTTGGCACTCGCCATACGGGTTGGCAGCTGAGAACGGCATGGATACTGGGGGTGAGAGTGCTGGTAGATCAGATGGGCATGGGTCAACAACAAACCCTCACCCTTAAATCACCCAAATCCTGGTAGGAACCTTCCTTCCCTTCTTCCAACCCTTTCTTCGACGCACGCCCAGGCGGCGCCGATGTGCGATTCGCATCGCATGGACCATTTTCAGATCTTCTTGGAGGCACGAGGTTTATGGGGCACGAGCAAGAAGCTACGAACGTAACGAAGGGCATCCCTACTAGTTACTAGGAGTAAGGACGCTAGTAGTAGCTCCTGGCCATACTATACAAGTAACAAGAAGCTACGAACGTAACAAAGGGACCAACTCGGTCGATTGGTCAACAGCCGTAGTGCTGTGCGGTCTGCCTTCGGTCGAAGGGGTTCTGAGTCCTGAGCAACTCGGTCCGCCGCGTTTGGCACGGCGGTCCGGCCTCGTGTGCGACACGAGCGCACAGGAACGAAAAACCGCGAGAAATGCGGCTTCAAACACTGGACAAACCATGTTTTTTTTTGGGGGGGGTACGGAGTTATTTCCGTTCGCTGATCCCTTGTTGACCGAAATGGATCTGTGATTTGGCGTTCTCTTTAGACGAAAACCGTGGGAGAATAGGAAGTTCTTTTGGCCAACGATACCAAGGTTCCGTTGATTTCTGGGGTCGACCCTGTTTTAGAGTGCAGGTTGAAACAAGATCGGGATGGAAGAAGTAGATTGTTGGTTGAAAATGAGGACCTTCATCGCGATTCGAGAGGTCTATTCTATCCTAGGTACTCCAAATCCTTTGTAAATCTTTGAAACATTGACCCCCCCGTACCTTTTGTTTTGTGCACATGTTGATTTCGTCCGGATCCGGATCTGACCCCCGGTGCTGCCCATTGCTTTCACGCACATCGGGTGAGACAACCACCACCCCGTTTGGGTCATCTAAAGAAGTTCTTACTGCGCGCTGGAACCCTGGCTTGGCTTCACCCAAGATCCTGGTCCTGTAGCCTAGACCCTGGACTTTGGCCTCAGGCATTTGGTTCTGATACGAACCCCTAGGGCCTATACAACAAGAACCCCTATTATCCTTGAAAAGATGAATGGTGTGGCTCCTTGCAGCAAGGGGTCACAGGAGTTGGGGTCATGTCCTTGATTCATTCTCTACATTTCGTCATCTCCATGCCGCTGCAGGTGCTGCAACACCGTAGTCCTGAGTTAGCCAAGGCAAAACACGGGGCGTGGCAGGGCATGGTCCGGGGCATGGCAAGACTGGACGGGTACTGAAAGACCAATGTGTCTAAGTTTGGTTCTTGTTGCTATCTGGTGTTGGTTGTATAACGTCATATACATATTATATGTTGAGCATCGTTTTGAGGGTGTGGGGGGGTTCTCAGTTTGAAGGTTTAGTTGTCACATGGGTGGACGAATCAACTGTTCTAAGTCTTTGAAGGCTTTCAACGCAGCGGCAACAGGGGTTTGGCCAACCCAAGACACCGCACATCCTCTTAATGTATATCCCGCAACTTCTAGCATCCGAATTTGTGTGTCTTTTCTTAGAAAGATTTTTGTATAGGAGGACACTGCATGGAATGTATCCACTTTGATGGACATGAGTGTGGGTCCAAGAGTAAAGTACCTTCGACCTACAAGTAAGAACTCCTGTTGATCTTCCATTTTTGTCTCTGCTCGATTGACCCGCAGGCACAGGGCGCCGCGGCACAAGTGGCTACAGTCTTGGCACAGGCACGTTCGTGGAGAAGGTTCAGGATGTCGGGTGGTGTTGGTTTTGGAACCCCAAAAATTACGATAAGAATAGAGAGCGCATTGAGTAGAGCAATGCCTTGCGACTTCTTCATGGCCTGCCGTGGCCTGCCGTGGCCTGCAATTCTGAACTCCTTCCACCCGATAGAAAGGCGGACGAACAAGCGGACGAGGTCCGATTGTTCGGATGCGTCCGAAAGCACACGATTGGGTCGGAGGATTCCGGCGGATGCACCACGTCTTTGGCCAACGCTGGTGGTGAAACAAACCGAGGCGTCCACTTCGGAGGTTCTCCGGGTTTGGCAGGTCCGGTCTGACCTCCTTGGAGGGTTTTGGTGTTCAGACCGGACCAACCGCTCGGTGGCTCGTGTAACCTCGACAAGCGACGACGGACGAACGCCGCCAGCCAGCTCCGCGGCGCCTCTGCGAGCTGGGCATCGAGTTTCGACCTGACAACGACGGCCTTCAGTCACCATCCCTAGGGCTCCTGGCCCATCTCCTCAGGTTCGGTGGTTAGACCCCCCCTGCACCCACCCCAACCATCTTCTCAGGAGGTGGGCCAGGAGCCCTAGGACATGTAGACTGATAGTTCAGCCCCCCAGGCCGGCCCTGAAGAGGTAAACACTCCGGCGGGTTCTGTGCGACCTGTGTGTCCTGCGACCTTTGCCTATCCCAAGCTGGGGATTCGTCGTGCGGACGGGAGGACGAGGGAGGTAGAAGAGGTCTTACATGGTCTTAGAATCCCTACCCCCTTACATGGTCTTACATGGGAAAGGGTAGTGATGTCTTACAATCTATGTCTGGCGAGTTGCAAGAATCAAGAATTCCAGATTCGATCACACCCAAACTTCGATGGTGTTTTTGTACCGAGGCGAGGGCAGTCACACCGGCTTGGTTTCAGCCATCCTTCCCCACCTAACCCCGTCTCCACCATGGCATGGGCGATGTGAAGGATGTTGGAGCCATCATCCAACCGTTCCAAACCAACCCGTTCCCGTTGGGTTTTCGACAGTTACAGGTGTCATCCAAAGACATGTGAGTGGGCCAGAGGCACATCCAAAGGCGTCCGAACGCTTCTTGTTAGTAGCGATGGCCTCCAACCGAATAGCGATGGCCTCCAACCGAATAGCTTCGAATTCTATAGTGACTCCAACCTGATGATGTCAGGCGATTGCCGCGCTGGCCTCCTCCAAGACGGCCTGTCGTGCGTCCGGTGCAGCGGCCACGACGGGTGCACGGCTGGTGGCGGTGGCGTTCTTGTCGCCGGCCTTGCGAGAGAAAGACGACGCCATGAGGCCTGGAGAAGGGCGAGTGGGGCGGGGAGAGAGAGAGAGATGGCATGGAGTGAAGATTGGAAGGTGCTTAAAGGTGATATTGAAATACTTCATATGCTCGGCCAAGTCACAAGAAACTGAGGTGTTTTTGTCTTAGGGGAATAGGAATAGGAAGAGAGTGACTGGATCAATCGTGCATCGGATTCCCCCTATTTGGGGGTTGTGAAGCTTATCGAACCGTCAAAAACCATGACCAGCGCTTTTGCAATCCTCGGTTGGCCGGCTGAGTTTGTTCTTCACCTATGCTCCAACTCAATCTCATCACAACCATTATCTCCCTTGGAACACCTTCCCATCAACAAAACTTTGGAATATCTCATTCAGACTTCTGAAGTGACGATGCCCAGGCCTATGATCGGAGCCTTTGAGTGATAAGAAACATCACGATCACATACAAAGACTCCGATCATTAGGAATCGAGATATTTTCACGGTCTAAGATCACATGAGGCTTTGAGATCCGGAATGTCCTGCATGTCCTGCATGTCCTGCGGAAAATGTGAGGTGCTTTGTGGAGGACTTGGCGCATCACATCACAAAAGCTTCCTTGCAGGCTCTTCGTGCGTGGGATCGTCAGGGGTCGTTATCGTCAGGTGCGGCAGGTGCGGCAGGAGTTCTTTTTGGTGGTATTCTGAACATCACTCAGAAAGAATGAGACGTATTTTAAAAAGAATACCCCATAATAAAAAGAGTCCGGTATTCCATAAGAAAGAATTATTGGTATGTTTCTCTGTGCTTTTGGAAGGAAGACTGGTCGCAGACCTTCCCTCGATCAGACCTTCCGCCGGACTCGGACGGAAGTTGCGGGATTCCGTCCACGACTTCCCATGTGTCTCACGGTGCGTGGGATGTTGAAACGGGTGACGCGCGTGTCGACCACTGGCGGCGACGGTCCGTCCGGTCGGATCGGAGGATCGTCCGAAGGCGCGAGACGAGCGGGAAAGAGGGGCGGGCGGGCCGAGGGTTCCCAGTTTGACCTGGGCCGAGGGTTCCCAGTTTGGGGTAGGTTTATAGGGTCCAAATACCTTCTGAGGAGGTACTTGGAGGGGCATGGAACCTGAAAAGCACTGGGTTGTAGAGGTTTTCATCGTCTTTCAAGGTCCATGCCATCCGTGATGGGTCATGTAAGTCATGGCAAGCGGTGGATCCCCAACCTCGCTCGCTCGCCGGTTCAAGCGAGGCAACGGCAGTCCTTTTTGGGGCGAGGGCGACCGCAGCGAAGGAAGAGTCGACCACGACTTGAGAGGGTGCCAAAACTACTGGCAATGGCCTCCAATCAAAGAGCAATGGCCTCCAGTCAAAATGCAAACAGATAAGACTTGAGAACACATATTTGTTTGGTGCTTGATGTGACTGAAGGAGGAACAGTCATGGATAGTCCTAGTGCTGCTTTGGCCTGGTTCCGTTGACTACCTCAATCTCTTTTCCGATCAGACGGCCGAACTGATGACCTGTTGTACATCTGGGGTAGAAAGCTGCAGGCCAAGATGATCCCCAAAAGGCGCAGAGTCATAAAAATTCAACCAAAAGAGATGCACTGTTCACTGTCCTTTGACCTGAGGCTCCCCACGATCTTTGTGTTGAACAAGTCTATCAAGATTGGATGAAGCGATGAAACCAAATTGAGTTGGAATTTCTTTCACATGAGCAAAGAAGCTGAGAACCCTCCCACAGTGACTGAATGGAAGCACTGATCAACACCTTCTTTCTCGACTATTTGGACAATCACAGAGCACTTGAGACACACGAGCACTTGGAATCCATTCCCGCAGCATCGAGTCCCATGAAGAACTGTCACTTGTTCCGCCCTCCTTTGCGCACGCGCGCACGCTGAAGCAAAGTGAAAAAGGAAAACAAGGGTCCCCGAACTGGAACCGTAGCAGCGTTCAGCTTCAGTGATCTCTGATTGTTCCGTGATCTGGCCTGGAAACAAGGTAGCTGTAGCATCTTCGCCCCCAAAGTCCGATGTCTGGAAAAAAAGACACCCTCCTCCAGTGCTCAGGGCAGGACCTTCCCTCCGACCCGCGGCCGCGACCTCCGATGGATGGCGACCTCGAGCTCCGCACCGCTCCGCCCGGGACCGCGCGCAGTCCCGCGCTGGGCAGCGGGGACGACGGCGGCGAGGGCACGGATGAGGAGTCGGAGAGCAGCTGTTCTGGGAGCTCCAGCGCTGCGGAGGAGAGCTGGAGAGAGATGGGGGGATGAGGGAGAGCTCCTATAAGATCTATAAGGATATCCATGGGACATCAGAGGACATCAAAAAGGATTCATGTAGATCGACCCTCAGTTCAATCACATCAACAGGTGGTTGGCAACTCTTCCAGCCCATGGATTGGTTTGAGAGAGTAGCCTGGACTCATTGGAGGAGAGCCGTGTAGCTGGACCGGTCCGGCAGAGACCCGGTCGGGCCGGAAGAAAGACGGAGCGACATACGGACCGTGGAGCATCCTGTCGGAACGGGTTATACAGGGTGGAGCATTTGTTCATGTCGGGCAACCAGCTAGGGTATGTGTTAGTGTCATGAATGACCCACGACCGTGCCACGACCATATGATTTTAACATGATTTTACTTTGGTCGAACTGCATGGAGTAATTCATGCGGTCCTGCCGCAAATGTTTCTGTCTTTACAATCTGTATGGCCTGGGCATCGGGGGAAGCAAGGGCACTCAGCTTCACATTGTCCTTCCAAACTGGCTGCACCTCAACAATTCTCTCCTGGAACGTCAATTGGAGCCCGGTCGCTTTGCTTTGGAGCTTTGCCGAAGACAGGTGTGCCAAAAGGAACCTGGGGAACTTTGGCTCTTTTCCACATTCGGACTTTAGAAGTTTGTCTCTACTGATTTCAGCACCATTTGTTTGGCACGTGTTTTCAGCAAGGAGTCACATCACCCCTGACTTCTGGTGCTTATCTCATGAAAGCCCCATCCTCCTCCTCGTACCCATTGTCTCATGAAATCATCATGGTCCATGTAAAATAGGATGGGATGGCCCCAAAGACGAGTTCGGATGGCCATCCGAATCGCCAACAGCTGCTTTTCGAAACCTTCACCGTGTGAAAAACCACATGGACTCGTCGTTTGCGGAGTTCGTAGCAACAGAGGCCTTTTCAGATTCCGACTGTTCGTTCGACTTGACTGTCCCATTTAAGGACTCCAGGTGAGTTAGGTTCCATCCACCATCCACCATCCACCATAGGTGGTGGTTTCATCCACCTGAACGACTCCTATTTGCGGTCAGGTTCCATCCACCATCCACCTCTCTTGGGCTCCTGTGCTCAGGAGGTGAAGGAGGCGGACCTCGCAGCACAGACCATGGGCAGTGACTTCGCACTGCAGCGGGTTCCCAAGCACGCGCGCTATGGTGCCCCAGCGTTGAGCAAGTCGACCAAGCGCTGGGGTTGGGGGAAGGTCACCTGCAAGATGAACTGCTAGAACTGCTTGGCTTAGCATTCTTAGGAGTCTCGTCCTCAACCAGATGACATGGGATGGTGTAGGAAAGTGACTTCACTCCTTTCCTGTCCAGGAAAACCTACCAGTGTTCCCAACCGTGGCTTGGGTTAAAGCATTGTGGATGACTGTGACAAATTCCACAGATATTGCCATGAAGCAACTAGTATACAATAGTCATCAATAGTCAACGGGTATTTCCACCAGGTATCAGTAAGCCGTGGTGCTTGGAACAGTTTCTCACATTCCGCCCCCAGATCTCTGACGACGACGAGACTTAGTGATGATACTCATTGTGTGCGAAGGCGGTCAAGTGGCCTCCAAACTGATAGCAATGGCCTCCAACCTAAGAGTCATGGGTACATCCTCGACATGTCCGACATGTTGCGCTGAACAGAGGAATGCACTGGCCAGTTCTGTTTGGTAATTGTGCCTTCCCTCATGGATGTTTCAGAATTTTGCCCAAATGACATGGCCTCAAACCACATTCTCCCAAAAGAGCATGCAGAAAGATGAGTCTCTGACAGGGATGTGAGTTACTCAGGTCTGAACGGGGAAACGAAACGATGTGGCCCGAAGTAGGGAATGACAGAAGGGAATGAATTGATGATGGTGGTGGTGGTGGTGGTGGTGACAATCACGACGACGATCACATTGGTGCTAATGCCAAGAAAAAGTAGATGTGATGATCTGAAGATGTGGCTGCCACATGTTTTGACCCACGGCCATATACCTGTGGGGCATTCTTGGATAGTTCCTCCAGTTTTGTCCTCCACAAATCGTGGGGGAGGGTGAACCACCTCCCTCCCCCCCCCCGGGGGCTTGGTTGGTTGGTGGAGAAGGTGTTTTGCTTCAGGGGGTTCACCTTAAAATGTGATTTCGTGGCAGGCGCGGGTGTTGGAGATGAAGTGGACCACAGCCACGTAAAACAAGTGCATGTTGAATGCAAAGAAAACAAAGAGACTGCGCCGGCCGGACTATTGCAACACGTTGCTTGGCTTGTTGCTTCGTCGCTTGTTTTGGTTCATGCTCTTGTTGGTTGTTTGTTGTGTCTTTGGCTGAATGCGGCTGTGGTTGTTGTCGTTGCTGTTGGTCTTTGTTGATTGGTGCCTGTTGGTTGGTTTGTGGGTTGCTTGGCCGAGCGACCGAGTATGGTGGGTTGTTTTGCCGCAAGGGGTGCACTGTAAAATGTGATTTCGTGGCAGGCGCGGGTGTTGGAGATGAAGTGCAGATTTCGTGGTGCGGGGGGGGGGGGGGGACCCCGGGGGGCTGCCGGGGGGGGGGGGGGGGGATCGGGGGGCTCGCCGGAGGGGGGGGGGGGGGGGACCCTGGGGCGAAAACACAGCCCCCCCCCCCCTGGGACTGTTTGGGACGGCTCTCCATTCTTGTGGGACACTCTTGAAAGACACCTGACATTTGCACGACACTTGTGACGACACTCTTGTGGGACACTATGGGGCACTCTTGTATAGGACACTCATGATGTAGGACATTCTTACCCTGCCGGGATGCCACCACTCATCCCCATTTGACCAGCGACACTCAGCATGACAACACATGCGCGTTAGTTTGCCTTCTTCTGGCCAGCCAGCCATGGCATCACACGGGCCATTTGGCAGCGAAGCCGAAGAGCTTAAGTTCAAGGTGCAGACCCAGGAGCCCGAGCCATTCACCGCCACCGAAGCACCGTCGCACGTTCAGGGGCTGACTGCCGTAGGTAGATACCACCAACATCGAGGGGTGAGTTTAAAAAGACAGCGCAGTCGTCCGAGGGAGGGTTCATTGCAGACTTTCAAGCGCTTTTTCCTTCTCCCTTCTTCAACGCCCGTTCCCCTGAGAGCCCCGTTCAGTCAATGCTCAACCGGCGGTTGAGAAGACAGCGACTTCACCGTCTACACCGTCGGAGACCCCGTGTGTCGCTGTCTCGTCGGGAAAGAACTTTGTTTAAATATTTTCTTTAACACGAGAAAAAACACTTAAAGGAATACAACCTTATATATAACAAATTAAGATAAGATGACCTGCTATATGTATGTAGATGGAAATAAACAAGTGATGGACGAAGACATCTTCGATCAAATGGTTGAGGCACTACATCAATTGTAACAATCCCCCAATCCCAGAGAAACCGAACAGATACAGACCGGACGGAACCTACGACAACTCACCCTTAGACCCCGATTACTTCAAGAAATACTATCAACGGAACCTCAAAAAGCCGTTCAGGTGTCCCGACTGCGGACGCACGCTTACGAGCAAATCCAACTATGCCAAGCCAGCAGGCTCCAAGTCCCAAGTTACAAAGGCATCGTGAGTGGAGAAGGTCGTTCGGCACCAAAGTCATTAAAAACCTAAACCCTCAAAGTTTGCTCCGCTATCACATGTTGGCACAACCATGACAATGTTGGACAGGACAGTGATTGCACCTAGGGTCTCTTCAAAAGGTCGTCACAAAGTTCGTTTTGTGATCGAGCCACCACTCACAGCGTGCAATACTACAAACAAACACGTTTGTTCACATGCTGTGAGAACAACATGGCCTGCTTTGAGTGAAACCACATGCGTTTCCACCGTTTACACGATTAAGAGTTTCCTTTCTGGAGAAAGGTGTCTTGTGTTCTTTTTTAAAGAGTGTGTGATTTTCCTCTTTCAGGATAGTTGCGCGCGCAGGGTTTCAAGAAAAACCGTTTGCAGAGCGTGTGTGTGTGTGTGCGTGTTTTTGTTTGCATGTCGCAGGCTTCATGACGCTCGCTCGAACGCCCGACCTTCGCCGTTCATGGCTTCAACGATTGCCAGTTTATCTAGTCCAAAGGAAGTTTAGTGTATGAAACTTCCGTGTTGCGGACATTCAAGAAGTGATCACACACCACTCATCACACCACTTTTCATACACCACTCATCATACACCACTCATCAACACACCACTCATCAATA